CAGCAGCACCGCCTCCCACCCCCAGGCCGCGCTGCTCGACCTGGAGTACAGCCCGGCGAAGTACGCGAAGGCCAACGCGAAGGCCACCCGGCCGATGCTCGACCTCTTCAAACACATCCTGGATTACCAGCCGATGGTCGCGGAGCTGCCGGCGAAGTTGTTGCCGTTTATCCCGGATTACATCCCCGCGGTGGGGGAGCTCGATCCGTTCGTGAAGATCCCCCGCGCGGATGGCTCGCCGGAAGGGCTGGGGCTTTACCTGCTCGATGAGCCCACCATCCCGCAGTCGAACCCCGCCGTGGTGCTGCTGGAGCTGCGCGCGACGAACGCGCACGTCGGCGGCGTCGCGCCCGTCGTGGATTCCTTCGAGGACGCCCCGAATCGACCGGAGGTGATCAACCGCTGGATCGCCGACGTCAAGAAAGTTCATTATAAAAAGCCGTTGCCCACGGTGAACTACCCAAAGCCGATGCCGGATATCAACACCCTTTTGCAGGCCTGGCCGACGGCGTTTGAGGAGTTTCTCAATGCCGGTGGGCAGCTCCCGTCGCCGAACATCGACCTCGAACTCGAGCAGTACGCGCGGCTGCTCTGCGTGCTGTTAGATATCCCTGTCTACAACTCCCTTATCGACTCCCTTCACGTCATGTTCACCCTCTTCGAGGAGTTCCGAAATAATCAGCATTTCCAGCACGTCTAAGGTCGGTAGGGGAAGGGGGCTTGATTAATCCAGAATGACTCGGGAGGGGGGAACGGGTGAGGAGAGAAGAGAAGAGAAAAGGGGAAGGGATCATCTGAATTCCTACAAATTCACTTTCCTTTTCGCGTGAGCCGAAGGAGTCGTGGGCTTGTCATGCTCATGGTTGTATTGGCTTCACTTCTGGGACTTCTCTTAGTTCCTCTTTCCCTTCGTCTCAAGACTTTTTCGCTGGGGTAGGCCCTAGTTTGAATCATTCATGGAGTGCGTACACCAAATCAATGCAAATTATCTGAAATAGATGTTTATATAGATGTGTGTTGGGAGTTGGAAGCAGGAAAGCTTCATTTTAATGCTAACGTTTTGGGCGTTTTTATAGTATTGGTGCATACGTGAAGTTTTTATCTAGTTTGTTGGGGTGTTGTCAAGGGTGCTCTAGTATCGATATCGATGTCTCATATTAAACCAGATAGAAGTGGGAAGTTTGGATGCTCAGCTTTTATTTTTGCAAATCAAGCGAATGCAGCGTTAGACATAGATATATTTATACATATATGTATTGTTGGCCACACAAATGTATGAATAGATATTTCTATCCTGCACATTTTGCTGAATCTGAATGGGGAAAAGTAAATGATTCCATTTCTTTATCCAAAGGAAGGCAGCAATATGCGGAATGGTTGTCATCCCCAAGTTGATCACCCTTGTGTGCACTGATGTTTGAGAAATGAAATAGGAGGCAGAGTGGGGGATGACCAGCATCGTGACCACTTCTCACTCAGCGAGGCACCTTTTATTGTAGAAGAGGTAAATGTTATCATCAAATGTGCTATTGCTTCAAAGTGTAACAAATTGTAAATACAAAAAAGTCTGCCCCATATGCTTTCCCTTTCAATTGAGAATCCGCTGATAAGATTATTCTCTTTTGCTGTCTTCCGTAAGCATTTAAAATTTCTAAAAAATATATATATACAGGTATTTATATATATATATATATATATATAAGCGAGCCTGTATATGCACTTCCTGCGTTCGCCAACGTGGTCCGTCTACGATGGCGAAGGTCAGCCATTTGACTTTAACGGGAGTGAAGAGGGGGCGCCTTACGTGCCCTACGTCTCCGAGGCGCCACCCTTTCTAACGCTTCGCTCGTCCGGGCTTAAAAAGGAGGCGCTGATGCGACATGGCGTGCAAAGCGCTGTGTACACCGCCTACGAAGCAATGGAGGCGGTCAGGGAAGGAGAAGGAGAGGGTGCGAACGCACGGCGGCGGTTTGCTGTGAAGCGTCTTTTCACGCTTCCGAACGACTTTGGCATTCGTGGCGTTCCGGAAACCGCGCTGCGTGAGGTCACCCTCCTCTGGATGCTGCAGCAGAAGCAGGAGGCGTTGCTTGGGCGACGGCAAGATCTCGTTGGCGGCAACCAGGATGAGGAAACCCCGCTCGATCCTACGACAACGACGTCGTTTTCCTCGGCGGGCGGGGCGTATTTGGATAACACGGCGCGCATCCTCACTTTCTATCGCGCGGTCGAGGCGCCGCATCGGGAGCTTTGCCTGATCATGGAGCTCTGCGCGATGGATCTCTCGCGCGTGGTAATCTCGCATACGAAGAAGTTCACCGCCTGTCAGGATTTGGATATCGCTCGATCCTTCACGTCGGCATTGCCGTCTGCCTCGAATTCGGCTGAAATGGGTGCCTTTGTGCGCGCCTGCCCGGGGACGATCCGTCATATTGATCGCAAGCGATGCCCGATTCTGAGCCAGATGTGCGTTGTGCGCTACCTGCTTCGCCGTCTTCTCCGCATGGTGTGCTTTCTCCACGAGGAGTGCGGTATCCTTCATCGGGATTTGAAGCTGAGCAATATTTTAATCACACAAGAGGGTGGCCTGCGGCTCTCCGACTTCGGATCGGCGAGGCTTCGAATGCCAGGGTTCCTCCCTCACGCGGCTGCTTCTACTCTCGAGCGGAAGGACGCGCCTGTGCAGGGGGATGTGGCCTACACCCCCGCCACGATGCGCACGACGAAAATCTATCAGCCACCTGAATGCCTGTTAGGGGACTGCCTTTACTCGACCACGATTGATATGTGGTCGGTGGGTGTTATTTTTGGCGAGCTTGTTCGTCAAAGTCACCTGTTTCACGGGGAAAGTGAACTGGCGGTGATTGGAGAAATATGGGCGCTGCTCGGGGTGCCGTCTTCGGGGGAGGCGGGATCGGACTCGCGTCGCCCCGCCGACCCCCCGCCGGAGCTTGGGGTAAGGTGGAGTCCACCAACCGGTCCTTCAAACGGAATCCATCCATCCAGCACGACGACGGAGGGGAAGGGATTACGTTGTAAATTCCCGCTATCCGTTCTATCAGAGGAGGGGTTTGATCTGCTGCAGCGAATGCTCTGTCTGGATCATTCTCGGCGCATTACCACGCGAGAGGCCCTCCATCATGTTTTCTTAAAATTCGAAGGAGACCAGGCCGATGACGACGTCGGGGCGAAACTTTGGAAACAAAAGGTAGCTGAAATCCTTGATGAGGGGCAGAAGTCAGTTGCAATTCAGATGCCTTTATTGGCAGAAGATCACGACGATGACGCTTATGTTATACCTAACTTTGCAATTAATCTGCGTTAACGGAGCAGTAGTGCTTTGATATTCCGCTCTCCGCTTATAGTACTCTTATATTTTTAAGAGAAGTAATATCAAAAAAAAAACATCGCGACTCGATCAACCATACGACTTAAAAGGAGGAGCGAAAAGTTGATCATCATTCACGTACTTAAAATATCTATGTGAAATTGAACAAAAAAATATTGTTATTTTCATTTCATTTTAAACGGATTTATACTCTAGTCGTGTTTACACCTTATCATTGCTGATTTTGAATAGTAAATCTCATTCTTTATCACCGGAAGGCGGGTATTAACAAATTGATCACCTATTTCTACGCAACGATAACTAAAATTACTAAAGTATCGCATTTAAAATCTCCTCGCAGGAGGCAGTTCGGAGTTAACAAGGAAGAGAGAAAAAAGACGCGTCGAAATTGAATTAGAAGGTAAAGAAGCGCATTAATCAAGACGTAGGAATGCTATATCGAACCCTCAAGGTTCATCGCAAAGCGATGCCAGAGGAGATAAGGGCTTCATATCACAAGCTGGCTCTTGAATTTCATCCTGACAAGTGTGGCGGCTCGCATGAGGACTTTCTTAGAATTCAAAAGGCTTATGAGATTCTCATGGATCCCGAGAAGCGTGCTGAATACGACGAGATGATGGCTAAAAAGCGAGAAAAGATGCGTAATTTTGTTCGGCCTGAGCCGTTCATGCAGGTTGTCAACCCAGTTGGATATAAACTCGCGGATGATAAGTACTACCTCTTCGAGACCGCCCCACAAAAGGTGCGTTGCGGTCTGCGTTACGGCGATATTATTGAATTTCAGCGTAAGAAAGGGTGTTTTGTAGGGCTTTCCGCGGATTCTTTTTTGTATTGGTGCAGCGAAGGGCATGACTACGCGACACCGTTTTGCCATGCGGCGAGTGATTTCGCGCTGAGTAGCACCGTGGTGTTGCTGCGGTCAAACTTAGACGGTGGAAAGGTTCACGTCGCGCCACCACCGAAGCAACCCTCCAAGAATCCCGTTTCCAGTGCTTCTAAAATGTCAAGCTCTACGACGACAGACGGAGGAAATCGAAAGTCCAAGGCAAAGCAAATATGGGAGCAGCTTCGGTTCAAAGAGAAGCTTAGGATGATTAGTCAACAGCTTAAGGATGCAGTTACCGACGAGATAGACGCACGAAAGGCTCTTGAGTCCGAATACTCTGATAGACTGAAGGAAATTCAATCCGAGATGGTGCTGGCTTCACGGGATTTTCTTCCAGCTGTTTTGGAGGAGCCTGAGGTGTGTGAGGTGGCTCCATCGGAGGGATCCGCTCCTCCTTCCGCCCCGTCGTTTCCCCCGTCGTCGTTGGAAGGTGAGGAAAAGGACGACATCGCGTTTCGTGGCGGCATGGCAGCGCTTAGGGCGCCTCTTTCGCCGATTTTGCGATACGGGGCGGGCACGCCGGGGCCGTTTTCGCTCGGCCCCCCGACGGTGGTGGGGGATGACGACGAACGCGCGGGGCGGGGGGGCGCGATCCCGCGAAGCCTCCGCCTGAGCACGGCACCGACGGAAACGGAATGTGGAAGTCTCATCTCCAACGAAGGGATTAACGGAACGCAGTGCAACGACGAGAGCGAAGACGAGGAGAGCTCGTTTCAGATCCACTTCGTGACGGAGATGGCCTCGCAGGGTGGTTTTGAAGGGAATCCAACGGAAAAGATCCCGGATTTATTCGAGACCTACGGCAGCAAAAATGGGGAAACCATGAATACCGTCAGTCAACCCGGGGTCTCGGCGGAGCCCTCGATCGAATCCTTATCCTCCGAGGTCGTTTTACCCGCGGCGTCGCTGTTGACGGCGTCGAGGATCGAACCATTGCGGCATGCCGCCCCTCCTCAGGTGGCGCAACGAAGCGATTCCGATCGAAGCTCCTCCAATTCGAGCGGGGGAACGGTTTCATACCGCGAGCCGTGGGCGCTCCCGCACCGGTCGTTTTCCTATCGAAATGGGGATGAAACCGGCATCCACGTTAACGATTTTGCTGGGAATCAGACTGCTGGCGGTGATGCGGAGCGTTTTGCAGGCTTTTCAACGCATCAAACCCCCAATGGAGTCTTTTCCCCCATGGGTTCGAATAAGTTGCGCAAAGATGAGGATGACGGCGCCGCGGGAAATGGCATGAAGGGGAAGACGATGAACAAGAAGCCTCCGCACAAGATGCGGAAAGACGCTACGAAAAAGCCATTAAATTTCGTTAAGATCGATGCTGATGGGGTGCTAAGAATTAGTAAAGTGGAGAACCCCGCGAAGGGTGCGGCGCGCATCCGGAGTTTTAATCGTCTTTCTGCTGAGGAGCTATTTCAACAGGAGGTCGGTTTCATTGAAGAATTCATGAGCCAAGGCAAGAACGGCAAACGAAGGAGATAAGTAGTTACCGGTATTGATTTTCTTATCTTTCCTGTCAGGTTTAACCTTTCACTATCAAAAAAAAACACTACAAATAGTAGAGTAGATATCTATGTATTAGTCGTTTTTTTTGATATTTAAGCCTTTCTTTTTTCTTATTGGATATGTGTATAGGAGAGGAGGAATCAGGGGGTGAGTTTTTTTACAAGTGGCGAACGAGTTCCTGTATGTTGTCGTCGCATAAAAAAAACCTTTTTTACGATAAACTCAAGAAGCCACAGTAGATATGCAAGTTCATCTGTACGCGTATTTGCTTTTGTACATTTTTTCTCAATAACTTTTGCTAGTATCTTTTAATTTTTATTTATTGAGGATTGCGTGAGCAGACGGTTTTATTATTCTATCTTAAATTATTTGCTTCTCTAATTTTTATATCTCATCAGAATTTTCTCTAGAAAATTCTGTAGAGAGTCACGTGGAGCTCACAACTCGACAATAACTTTTCAATGGTAACAAATCCCTTTTTCCTTTCCCTGGGACTCTTATATATTTACCTAGGGGATTCGAGAAGGGTTGAAAATAGCAAAAACCGAATCCTCCAACACTTTGATTTTGAATTCCTTAACCCATCTCCCACTTCATCTAGATCATATTTGTTTTAAAGTGATTGAATGGGAGCTGCGTTTGGTGGAATCTGACTTGCAAACATTTGTACACTCACATACACCCACATGCACAGACGCATAACCTTTATGCCTGTCCATTTTTCCATGCATTTGCAGTGCGTTTTTTTCTTTTTTATACATCTACTCCTCTGGTGCATTTGGGTTCATTCCTTTTTCTTCTCTTCTCATCTTCCGCGCATTCTAGTCGATCCCATCACCATTTCACATGACGGATCTATTCACCTTTAGCGTGGCGAAAGGACCTTCCCCCCCGGTGGCGGCTCGGAGTGGGGTGTTTTACCTCCCGCATGGACCCGTTCGGACGCCCATTTTCATGCCGGTGGCGACGCAGGGCGCCCTCAAAGGGATCACCGTGCAGCAGCTGGAGGAGCTCGAGGTGGAGATCATCCTCGCGAATACCTACCATCTCGGCTTACGCCCGGGCGAGGAGGCGTTTCGGGAGATCACCAAACGAAAGAACGCCCGTGCGGCGGGCACCTTGACCTCTTTGGAGCACCCCGCGAAGGCCCCTCAGCCTTCTTTGGATAGGGTTCGGGATAACATGGATGGCATTCATTTCCTTGAGGGCTGGCGAGGGAATATCCTCACCGATAGCGGTGGGTTTCAGATGGTGAGTCTCCTGCGGCTGGCGGAGATCACGGAAGGGGGGGTTCGCTTCCAATCCACGCACGGCGGTGGCGGGCGGGCGGCACTGCGCGGCCGTGATGGCGACCCCCCTTCTCCAGAAGGCGCGGAGGAATCCTCGCCCTATGCCCTTCTCCTTCGCCCGGAGGATAGCATTCGGATCCAAAACGCGATCGGGGCGGATGTCATGATGCAGCTCGACGACGTCGTGCACGTGCTGACGACCGGTCCTCGGGTGGAGGAGGCGGCGAAGCGGAGTCTGCGGTGGTTGGATCGCAGCCTCGCCGCGAACGAAAACGAGGCGAAGCAGTGCATCTTCGGGATCGTGCAGGGCGCGTTGGATCCCACGTTGCGGCGGGAGTGCCTGCGGGAGATCACGAAACGAACGGCGTGCAAGGGTTTCGCGATCGGAGGGCTCAGTGGGGGGGAGGCGAAGGACGACTTTTGGCGGATCGTTCGCCTTTGCACTTCCGAGGGCGGGCTCCCAGAGGAGAAACCGCGCTACTGCATGGGGGTTGGTTACCCGGAGGATATCCTTGTCTGCGTCGCGCTTGGTGTGGATATGTTTGATTGCGTGTTTGCCTGCCGTACGGCGCGCTTTGGCTCCGCGCTCACCTCCACTGGGAAGATTCAGCTCGGAAAGCGGCGCTACGCGAACGACTCCGGGCCACTTGATGCGGCATGCAACTGCATGACGTGCAAAACCTACACCCGCGCGTATCTGCATACCATCTGCGCCTCCAAGCACTCCATCTCGGCCACTCTTCTTTCATATCATAACATTGCCTACCTGATCAACCTCACGCGGGGGGCTCGGACGGCGATTCTCGAGGGCCGCTTCACGGAGTATGTGCAAGATTTTTTCATCTCTTATTATCCCGAAAAGAATTATCCTCAATGGGTAGTGGATGCACTGCGGTCTGTTAACATCGAATTAAAGTGATCAGTATATATTTTTTTTAAAAGAAAAGATCAAGGAGTCTTAACGCGCATTAACATAAAAATATTTTTTTATTTGCGAGACTATAGAGGCTTGAGAGCTAAAAAAAGTGTCGATCACGCTTTGAGCGTGTCGATCTATTTTGGAAACCCCATTATTGCTTGAGGAAATATATTTCTATCTACTGTTGCTGCATTATTATTCATACCGCATTTTGTCTTTTGCTTATAATATAAGGACGAATTATCTTCTTGTTTAGGCCATATATTTTAGATCAAATGTCCGTAACAATTTCTCTTCAGTGCTCTGAAGGTCGTTTTGAACTCCCTATTGATTCGGCGCTATCCGTCAAGGATGTCAAGGAGGAGTTTAAAAAAGGTTTCGCCCTGCTTTCAGACTTGAATCTCAGTTTACTCGTCATTAACTATAAAGGTGAGTTTATAAAGGATGAAAATGTTTCCCTGGTATCCTTAGGAATTCAAAACGATGATGTTTTGTTCTTGATCAAAAAGCGGGCTGTTCCCTCGCTTGCACGAGAAGATGCTGAGTGAGTGAAGTAATCTAGGAGGGAGTAATGACTTTATTCCCTTGATATAAAGCACTCTATTAAAGATGTTTAGTTATATTTAGTTGGCTTTATGTGTGTGAAAGGTTATTCCGAACAAAATCTGTTCAGTGATCACAAATGTATTGAAGAAGATAGATTAAACTCTAAATATAACTAGAATGGAGGAATTAGAGGTCCTCATTACTTCTGTACTCTGCATAGTATTACTGTCCTTTGGCTCCAAATGTCTTGATCCTTTCTTCCCATGGATTTGCGCTTTGTTTAGTTTGAAATTATATTTCCCCGTTTTACGTTAGGTAGGGGAAATATTTACTGTGCTGTTTTGCTCTTCTAGAGTGAGAAGTTAGGCTTGATAAGACTCTTTTTTTTTCTATGTTCATTAGCTATTTTTACGCGCATAAATTGTTTACCTTCGCTTTTATCTATTCTTCTGAGTAGAACCCTAAACAAAAATGACAAATTTCAAGTCGTTAACAGTGCCTATTAGCAAGCGGCCTGCTGATAGTCGAATCGTCAGTAGTGCCTCCGCGCTTCCATCGGCTACTGTGGCCGCCGTGGGTTTAGATTCCTCGCTTCCATTAGTTACTCCCTTTAAATCTCGGCAACGCTCAAAAAGAGGAGGCATGATCGAATCGGAGCCAACCGCTGCTCAAACGAATTCATTCCGAAAGATTCGTTCCAAAAAAACCCGTCGGGAGGAAACCCAGAGTGAACCCAAAGATCAGAAACCAAACGATATCTTTGAGATTGTTCCCCATGAAGTGGTGTTTGAATTCAACGAGCTGAATCAAGAATACGAGGCCACTGTGTGTTTCACAAACAAAAGCAAAAAATCCGAATTTATTCGCCTATCCGGTCCTACGAGCCGCTTCTTCATGCTTTCCCCTGCTAAGGGATCTGAAGCAACTCTGAAGGCGGCCCCAGGTCTCTCGCTCATCTACAAGCTGATCTTTCATCCGGAGGATCTCGTCGACTACGCTGAGGATCTACGAATTTCGACCGATTATGGTGATTTAATTCTCCCCGTACGTGCCTACTTCAGCCGTGGCAGGCTGCAACTGCCCGCTGAAGTGGTCATTGAAAACTGCCCGGTGAAAGGCTCCGCTAGCACGCTTTTGTTTCTGCGCAACGCGGACTTCCGGCCGTGCAAGTGGGGCTCGAGGGTGCCGGAGCCCTTTGCGCTTTCCCCATGCTACGGTATCGTCCCCCCTGATGGCGGTGTCCTGCCCATTAAGGTTTTTTTCAACGCCAACGCTCTCACCAGGCGAGAGATGGATGCCGCGGATTTGTTGAATAGACCCCAGATCGAGGATGTGATCACCTTCCTCCTCGGCTCCGAAGGCGATCGCGTACAGAAGCTCCCCGTGCGCGCCACATTGGTGGAGTTGCCCGTGCGTTTAGATCAGAGCGAGGTGGACTTCCCTCGCACCTTCGTCACGACTCAACGGCAGACGGTGGTGCGGTTGATCAATGACAGCGAGCATGTGATTCATTTTACCTGGAAAGGCTCGTACGGGGATGCAATGACATTCCTTACCGGGAGCGAGACCCATTCCATCGGAGCTGATGGCGTCGACGAGAGCGATACGGTGTTTGATGATCCCGACTTTGCCATTGAGCCCGTGCAGGGCGAATTGTGCGGCAGGGCATCACGCGAGCTCACCATCTCCTTTCGACCACACATTGGAATTCCCTCCTCGGCGACGGCGTTTCTCGAGGTCACTGGGTTGCGGAAACGGCTTCCGTTGCACCTTACCGGCTCTGGTAGGGGTCCGGAGTGCAAGTTGGGGTTCACAAAACTTAATTTGGGCGAGGTTTACGTCAACTCGGTTCATGTCTATAAGGTTAAAATCGAGAACATAAGCTGCATCGAGGCGCGCTATACGATTCTCCCGCCGAAGGATACCCAATATGGTCCCTTTTTCACCCTTTCACCGTCCAAAGGGGTCCTGCAACCCGGCGGTGTGGATGAGATCTCCATTACATTCCATGCAAGTACCTTGGGGATCGTTTCCGAGAGTATCCCGATACGCTTGCATGGCTGCCAGGGCAGTGACCTCTCCTTGAATATCAGGGGGTATGTAGTTGCCCCTAGCTACCAGCTTAGTCTAGAGGAGGTTGACTTTGGTTGCATTTCGTACGGATTTTCTCATCAGCAGACATTTGAGTTCACCAACACGAGTCAGATTGCACTGCGCTACCATCTCAAGCTACCACCTTCGTGCCCCTATGCGGAGGAATTGGGCATCCTGCCTCCAACCGGACTCCTGCAGCCGTCCGAGGTGCAGACCGTTACTGTAAGCCTCTTTGCAAACGTGCTCGGAACCTACGAAACGGCCCTGATGATTTTTCTAGACGGTGTCGACGAGGAGCTGTGGAGGTTGCCCGTGAAGGCCTTCGCGCAGACCCCCACTCTCCGCGTGACCCCGCTTACGCTGGACTTTGGCGACTGCTACGTGGGCTATGATTATACTCGTGAGGTTGAGATTGTGAATGAAACGGCGTTGGCTTCGCATGTCAAACTTGAACTCGATGAAAACGCCGTGAAAGGGACTGCAGTCATCAAAATCAACGAATATCTGGCCGAAAGTGACGAATGTAAAAATCACCGTGAGGTGGTGGAGGCCCATTCCACCGCACGCTACTCAGTAACTGTGCGAATGAATGAAATTGAGTCGTTAAGTTGTGGCTTAAATCTGCACACCATAGGGGACCCCAACACAGTGCACAGCGTGACTCTCTCGGCACGAGGAATTGGTCCTGTCTTGCGATCCTCCGTCAGTGAATTGACGTTTGAGCCGCTCAAGCTTCTTGAAAGCGCTGAACTGAATTTCACGCTTAGGAATGTCAGTCCCATTCCCGCCCAGGTTCGTCTATACCTTGCAAAGTCCGAAAACGACCCACACGCGGTATTTCAGGTCGTTCCAAGTGAAGCGGTCATTCAACCGAAAAGTGTTTTGGAGGTGAAGCTCATTGCCTGTTTGGACGAGGCTAAACTCAACACAGACAGCCTGGTCGTCGAAAATCCTTATGTTCCGACGGTGCTCAAGCCGATTCCTGTAAAGGCATTGGGGAAGGGCTTCGCGCTCGTTTTGGGCCCTGACTTTTCGATGAATACCCATCTCGGTGATTTTTTCACTGGTACCGCTGTGGAGCGCACTTTCACGCTGCTCAACAAGGGACGGCGTGATCAAGAGGTTCAGTGGCTCAATGTGCGCGGTAACCGGGTTAAGGAGGACTCACCACCGATTGTCTTTAAAATCAAACCGGAGCGTGTCGTTATCCACTCCCATCAGAGCGTCACCTTTACAGTTTGTATCTTTTCACAGGGTGAGGGGACCTTTTCGGACACTTTTGCCCTCAAACAGAGCGTTAGTTATAAGCAGATTTCGCTTGTTCGCATCGAGGCGAATTTTATCCTACCACTGATCGTTTATAACACCCAGTCGCTCTCCTTCACACACATCCAGGAAGGGTTACCCGAAGAGGAGGTGGCGGATGAAAAGCCGGAAGCGTTTGAGCCGGGGAAGGATGATCAGAAGGTGATTCCACCGTCGTCCAGTGCTCTGATCACGACTGAAACCAGTCTCACAAAGTCCTTCTCCATGAAAAACGTCACAGGCAAGAACCTCAATGTGGAGCTGCGCATTCGCGAGAAAGGCCCATTTCGGATTGCGGGGGATCTCAAGTTTGCGCTTTTCAGTGGTGGAACGCGTGTGGTCGGGGTCGATTTTGACCCTCATTACCGTCAGGACTGCCTCTCGCATGAGGTCAAAAACAAGGTGGTCATCAAGTTTCTCGAACACCCCCGTAAGGATAACGTGATGCTGCATGCGCGTTTCGTATACCCCGTTCTTGAGCTCAGCTCCGAGCGGGTCGACTTCGGCACGATTATCCGAAATACGGAGGTGCAGCGGGAGATCACGCTGAGAAATCCCTCGACCGAGGTTGCCGCGCGATTCGAGTGGAAGCTGCATCAGGTGGAGATCTTCACGGACGCCGCGGCCGCGTCGGATCCTCTTTCCTCCTGCACGACGACAGAAAGGGCGTCGAGCCCCTCCAGCACCTTCTTGGAGCACGAGGGCGACCACCGCTGCTTCGACTTCGTTCCCTTTAAAGGCTGTATCCCGCCGGGTGGGGTGCAGGTGGTGGGGGTGGTTTTCAGCGGCGTCTACGGGCTTTTTCGAGCACGGGCGCTCTGCCAGGTGCGAGGGGGCCTCAGCTACCCTCTGGCCCTCTCCGGCAGCGCCGTTGGTGTGAGTGTGCAGGGCGATCACACCACCCTCGACTTCGGCTGCATGCCTTTCTACGCCGAGGCGAGTCGGACGCTGGTGGTGACGAACCCCTCCCGCGTAACGGCCCCTTTTAATGTGGATCTCTCAAAGCTACGGAACGGCAGCGCGGTCCGCGTGAGCCCGAGATCGGGGATGCTCGACAAGGATAAGCTCAGCCTCACGGTGACCTTTTCCCCCCGGATCCCGGACGAGGTCGCCGAGGATATCTTCATCACGATCGGCCACTTCGACCCCAAACACGTCACCGTGATAGGGAAGGGGTTGCTCAACAGCATCGCGATCACCGGCGCGGACCCCCGTGTAGATGTGCGTCGGAATCCCACCGAGCTCTTCCTAAAGGCCTACAAACGCGTGAATACAGGGAACTCTACCGAGGGAACCAAGCAAGGGGAGATCAGTTTGTACTCCACTCGGGTGATACCCACCCTGCCACCGCCGCCGACCTTTTTGGATTTCACCGCCCTTGAGGCGGAGAGGCTGGCATTTTGTGCGGCGCTCCTCGAAAATCGAAAGGAAAGTTTGGAGGAAGGGAATGCTCGATCCAGCCAACTGAGGACCGCCAGGGCGCCATTTGAATCCTCGGACGACGAATCGGCATCTTCGGAGATGAATGGCGAGAAGGGGGTTAATCTTAATCTCCCCTTCCGCCGCACGATGCGACGTAGTTCCACGTCGGTGAACGGCCCGAACAAATACATCCTCGCCTCCTACACGCTCGACTTCGGGCACATGACGCGTAATGATGTCCGCACCACAAAGGTGCGTCTCACCAATACGAGCTCCGAACCTCTCTTCCTTATGCTTGACGGTAAGGAGCTTGCGAATCTGCCAATCACCATCAACCCGATGCGGG